ACATCCCCCACCAGGCAAATCAGGAATGCTAGCAACTAACTTTGTGGCCACAAGAAGTAATCCATAGCTTCCCAAGGCAGCATAACCCAATATTGCCCTGGCATAAATTTTAGTACACTGCCAGGGTGATCCATTGGTAACATAATCTAAAGCTTCATTCTCAGACCTAAAAACATCAAAACCAAACTTCCCATGATGGCGAAGAACCCCAGTTGTTGGATCAACATAAATCACCTCAGTGTCAATCCTAGTAGACAACGTAACAACAATATGAACTTCACCTGTATCCAACGTAACCACAACAACAGATGTACTTCTTGAACCACCAACTGCAAGTAAAACCAGATATAATCAGCTAACGCACCATACCGGATTTAACCAACCATTGAAAATACGGGCAAACAAAAGAAATAAATCCAAAAATGTGATCACCTGGTGATTCCATGCGCTCGAAATGGAACTAATAACTAAAAACTTCCTGAAAATTCACAATGTTCACTATCCCCTGATGGAGAAATTCAATAATCTGTTCAAACAAAATTAAACCCACAATCAAATTCTCTACTTTTCTCTTATTTATGTAAACAAATGGTGGGAATGATCCATAAATCCATCAAATCTAACGACAAACAAACTACCTATGAATGCCAAGTCAATTACATTGAAGCAACAAGCCAATGATGTATAAATATAAATAAATTCCCTAAATCTAGATCACGAGATTCAGCTTTTCTTGTTCCTGAGATCTAAAACATGAAAAAAAAATTTTCAAAATGAGATTAAAGAAATAAGAAATACTTATAGCTGAAACTAAGAGGAGCACTGGATTTCGTTTCATTTTTTTACTATGATCTCAAATCAAAGCAAGCATCAAAAGAACTTTCTCAGATTTAACCAATTAAGTAACTCCAAAATTGAGTTAGACATGAAATGAAAGAAGATGGCTAGATACTATGGGAAATGAAGCAATCGAAGAATAAAAGAAGAAATGGAGATGTTATAAATATAGTTTTTGTTATTAACGAAATTGAATACATAATACCAAAAAACAAAACAAAAAAAAATGAAAAGTAAATAAACTGACCGGAAAGTTCAAAGTCCGAACGTCGCATAGAATTGAAGATCTTTCTAAAAAAAAATTAAAGATCGTCTGCGGTTGCGTGAGGAACTGTTATTCAGCGATCCATTGCCACGTCGGTTTGTTAAAGATCTGTTTGGTTAGTATTTATTTCTTTACGTGGATTTACTTTTTTTCCATTTCAAATGGAAAACAAAAAAGCTTAGAGTTTTTTTTTATATTTAATTTTCATAAAATATGTGAATTTTAATTTTCGTGAATAAAAAAATTAACAAAACTTCGACTATCAGTAAACCCCTTGGTTAAAAGCATCTCCACGAGATCAGGAATGACACTCCTATTATTTTGAGTTGTTATATATGGAAAAGCCTAATAATTTTATATATAATATGATAATATGATAAAAAAATAATATATAATAAATGATGTATATATTAAGTACAATTATATTTTATTTTTTAATTATGTTGATCTATTTAAGACATGAGATTATTTATATTATATTTTGTGCATTATGTATATTACATGTTTAAGACACAATTAATTAATTAATTAATTATATTTTAATCATATTATCGTGTTAACTCGTATAAATAACATATTTATAACACGTAAGTACCATCATTTTCTCATAATTGATTATATTTATGTTTTTTTTCATTGAAAATATATGATTAAAATGTTAATTGTATTTAGTGTTTTAATATTTTTATTATGTTATTATTTTAGTTTAATATTAAATTATTGATTAGATATTAATTATGTCGCATTAGTCATTCATAAAATAGATTGAAACATATTAATTGTATCATGTTACGAGTAATACATATAATAAATATATTATATTCATATTTTATATTATTCATATTATTCAAATATTTATTTCGTATTTGATATCATATATAAAATTGTATCTCATATTAAACAGACATGATTACGTGAATTTTCATGCCTATATATTGATTGTGTGAGTCAAAAGTCATAAATAAAAAAGAATAAGTTGAAAGATAAACTTTGAATGATTTAAATAAGATAAAGCATATAAATGATAAAACACTTAGATAAACTTAATCTTGTAATTTGAAAACATTGAATTATTGATTGGATTGTAATTTTAAAACATTGAAAAATTGGTTACACAAGTTTATTTGGTAAATAATTTAAATTTAATAATTATTATTTATTAGATCCTATATGTTAAAATTTAAATTATCCATATAGACCTCTATGTGGTATACCTTACATGTTTTTTATATATAATAATTATATTTGATATACAAGATTATGATAGGATTGGATAAGATGATATTATGAATAAAATTATATTAAATAATGTCATCCTATTTTGTGTTTAATACATGCAAAAATTAGAATAGGATAATTTATTTATTTGTTGAAATTATCTTTTTTCAAAATTTATACTATTTTAATTATTGATATATTTTTTAAAGATATAATTGGACATGTAAATTTAATTTCATGATTAAAAATAATCTTTTTCACTTATGGATGATTAAATAATCTTATACTAAGAGAATATTAATCTTCCTTACAATCTTTATATTTTTATTTAGTTACAAATCAAACATGATATAAAATAATTATCATCATATTATGTTAATAATCTTATATATCAAACATGACCAATATATATTAAATTAGATACTAGATAATAAAGAAAATTATAAATATATTCCCATTGTTTCTTTATATACCCCATTTTTTTTTACACTTTTTGTAAATAAAATTATTTAAATATCATTCTTACAAGTTTTAATTTTTCTGAAATTCTAAAAAGTCATAACGCTTATTTGAAATGAATTTTCAACAAGGTTAAAAAAAAAAGGAATTTTATTAAAAATTACAAAAAATTTTATTAAAATTATTTATAAATAAGTGTAATAAAAAGATTATTATTAAAAATAATAAATTTTAAAATTAATATAAAATTACTTTTTTTCTACTTTTATATTAAAGAAAGAATAATATCTTATGAGATTCTAATTAAATTAAAGACAAAATAGCAAATAGAATTTTTTTATAAATTTAAAATTTATTATTTATTAATAATTTATTTTTTGTATCGATAATTAAAATTTTATAATAATTTTAATTACATTGAATTTCTCAAAAAAATCTCTATTTTTTTATCACAATGAATTTCTTCAATTAGCATATTAAATTTTAATAAAATTATATAATATTTAATAATATTACTTATATAACTTTAAAAAGCTTTAACTCTTATATATTATTCAGACCGAATAGTTATTTCAATACTTTTTTTAATATTAAGAGATAAAATATTTAATTAAAATCTCTTTAAATTTTAATTTTTTCTAAAATCAAAATAATAGAAGTAATTTTTTTTTAATTTTAAAATTTATAATTTTTAATAATAATTTTTTCATTACACTACTTTATAAATAATTTTAACACAATTCCCTTGTTTGTAAGTTTTCATGACATTTCACCTTACTTTACTTTCCATATCCGAAAATACATTTCCAAAAAATGTTAATGACTTTTCAAAAATAGTTGATATCCAAAAACTTGCAAGAAATGTATCTAAACAATTTTAATTACAAAAAATTTTGAAAATTAAAAATGGGATGAAGAGAGAAAAAAAGTGTGTATTTAGAAGTCCCCATAAAATAAATACAAGAATATGAAAAAGAAAAAGAATCCACTAATAATCATCACTGTCATAGATTTGGCATAAAGATTGGAGTCCAAAGCTTGTATTGTTGGCAAATTTCTCTTCTTGTTTCTTCTCTTCTGATTTTCCTGGAATGTTACCATTCGCAGTTATGACTGGTTTTTTCTTCACAACAGAGATAACGCCTGAAGACTTGAAAGGAGCTTTAACTTCTCTGGTCCCCAAAACACTTGAAGTTTCTGTTAACAACCAAATAAGTTCATTACCATATTTACAACAAAATGAATATGTACCAATTAGGATGTAATGTCTCCAAAGTAAAAGGAATTATTTCATTCACATTTTACAATTACTTTCACACTTGTAGTATTACAGTTAAGTTCATGAGAATGTTAAGTTATATGTGCAATTCATGAGCCAGTCACTAAACTTCCATAAATTTTTGTATGTTCATGCTGTATTTGAAAGAAAATTTTTGACAGATATATGTTCAGACCCTATAATACATCCTTTTAGATATATACCATAGCAGGTTTTGTAAATATTGGTATCGAAAATCTGCAATTGACTGAAGTCGATAGTGAGAGTGATTTCTATGAGGTGGCAAAACCTCCGTGCTCATAGTATTTAAGCATGGAGCCATTTAATATAAAATGTTTAATCTTCTTTACAATTTCAATGTTTATTGCTTTCTTTAGAAATCTAAACTACTTATAGAATGAGTTATGGTGTCTCTTATCAACATAAAGCATTTTAATATATTATGCAATGTATGAAAAAAAGAATCTGGGATAAATATAGCAAATACCTTTGCTGCTGGAGCCGTCAAGAAAACTGGTATTTGTTAAAGCATCTGTAGGGTTACTTGAAACTTCTTCAGACACCCTTCTCCTCTACATTGCGTTCACATGAAAGAATGAGCTCACAGACTATTTACCAATTAATTTCAATAATAGGGATTTACTATCAACAAGTATCCCATGAGCAGGGTATGTTTTGGATGGAAAATTGAAATATTTTGACAGTATGTGTGTATGCATGTTCTTGCTAACTGAAGTTACACCATCATTTGAGGTTTCACCATTGCCACTTGATAAATGGGTCAAATCCCCATCATCATTGAAAACTTCATCTGAAATCCTTGACACTTCCTCCTTTGGCCTCTGTATTAAAGTTGACACCGATGTTAGAAACATGACCACCAAGAATAAGGAGAAACAGTGACTGCACATAAGGAAGAGCAATACACCAATTCTAACCTGGAAAATTGATTTTATAAGGGCTTCATCTTCTTCTTCTATATTCCTCTCCTACTAGTACATTAATATACTTGTAGTCAGAATCAAAAAAGAGGAAAGAGAAAAGAAATACAAGCATAATTAAGCAATGTGCTTATCACTCCAATTTTTTTGTGTGAATACTCATCTTCCCTCTCAACAAGAGTAAGAGATAAGCAATGTGAACATTCATAAATATTCTGAAATAAGAGTTATAAGATTTAAGAGAACTTGCATTCAGTAAGCATAATTCAAGAAGCCTACCCTAATAACACCTGATATAATTACATTAAGCTGACATAATTCAGGAAAAAGAACTTCCCACATACTATAAGGAAATACAACTTTTTTTTGTCTTTTTCGTTTTATCCCACCCCTTTTCTCAGTTCATGTACAATTGAAGAAATGCAGCACAAAAATGTGCTCAACAAAACCATAAATTCCTCTCAGGATTTTGCGATTGCAGAGCAATTCCAGCCAAAGATATATCACCTTTGACTTAGAGAAATTGAAAGTATCAAATCACGTACAAATGAGGCAAAATCACGAAAGATTTTTACCATAAAAGCGGCTTAAGCCATTAAGAAATAAGTAGAAGTATTTTTACCTTTTCTGCAGCAGTGCCCTGCAGGATCTCAAGCATTGCATCTACACTCACATTAGCATGTCTGGACAACATAAGACAGACTTTCATTAGCACCAAAGAAAAGAAAACATTATTTATGGCCATTTTGATAGATAAATATATAACATTAGGATTTCAAGTTCACATATAAATTAGGGCTGATAATTTTGGCTCATTTGACACCCATAAACACAGTCAAAACAAAGAAAAAAACATTCTATGTAATTTTATTTTTTGACGACAGTAATGTTGCATATATCTCTTGCATAATATAAAAAAAAAATTGGATTAAGTACCTTCATAGACTTCATTAGAGATCAAGTGCAGCAAGGATGTCCATCTCTCTTTTCGAATCCAACGATCTGTTCTCCAATGATTTCATAGCATTCCCCATTTCTTTAGATTCTCTTTTCTGTCTCTCCTTTTCTGCTTCCTAACAAAAGGGAAGATGAAAGATTTTATCATAAAAATCATTACTAAATATCCACAGCTGTTAAAAGAACTACACCAACATTTAGCTTGATAAACAAAGTTCTCACCTCATCCTCAGCACGCCAAGGTTCAAAATTTCTCGTGGCACCGGATTCGACGACATAATCTGAATTTTGTGGATCAGTCTTTATTGTAATCTCAGCAGAGCACCTGCTGCATTTGAAATAAAACCTAAATATTTGGATTCCCAAATATGTCTGCAAATAAGTGAAATAAAAAAAAAGGAATTAAATGCACTGAAACATTAAGATCTATATCACCAATTAGTGAAAACCACATGAAAATTTGAATCTTACAAAGCAAAAGATAGCTTTTGATCGTTGCTTTTTCTACATGCTTTTTCCTAGCGTTCGAAGTTGAAATGGAAAAAACAAATACTAATATTTCCAAATCGCCGATGACATCTCCCTTGCGGAAATTGAACTTAGTGCCTTTGTAGATGTAATTGCCCCAGGTGTTACAACGGATGCTCATCGGAAGAATCATTCGAACCTTCATCTGTTGGTTCTTGGGTCGCCCGACCCTCGGAAGCTTCGACGGATTGAAATCCGGCGGGTAATACTTTTTCAACACTTTTCTTTCTCCCATCTTTCAACTAGTTCAAAGTTTGATTTCTATTTCGATTGGGTTCTCTAAACCGGAATTAGGGTTTTTGGGATGATAATTGAGGAAATTTTAGTTTCTGGTTTTAACAAGGGAAGAAGCGGGAACGTTTTCACGTAACCAGGACCTTCTCAAATGCCGCTATATCAGCCGTTGCTTTTATAAACCAATGCCATCGTGAGGTTCTAATGAATAGTTTAAGGGCAATTACGAAATACTACACAATTGTTTTCTTTTTCCGCTAACGGATGTAATTGGTAATTATTATTATTATTATTTACATTATTCTTTGGAAAACTATCAAATACTCCATTTCTCTTTTAAAAGAAAAAAAAATTCAGAGTAAATAAATTACTCAATCTCTCAAATTAAAATAAAATGTATCATATTTAACAAACATTCAAGATGATCTTTTCTAATCGAGGCTAAAACTCTAAAAATTAAAAATACCAAAATAGGAATAACACTCGATATTATTAGAAATGCTAAAAAAAAATCATATTTGTAAAGTAGAAATATAAACGAACTCCGATAAATGTAAAAAATAAATCAAATAAGATGTATTATAATTGACGTATATTCAAAATAATCTTAATAAGTGATTATCGACAGTACTCAAATTTAAAATATTTTAGTCGAAGAAAACAAATTTTAACCGATTAAATCAATTACTTGTTGGTTATTCTAATTTTTTTTAGATTTTAAATTTTAATTTTTCACGTTATGCAATAATTATAAGTACATAATAAAATAAATAATAAAAGAATCTATTTTTTCTTTCCTTTTGTATTTTAAAATGTTATTTTTTATATTTTTTGTTACTTTAGCACTTACTGATTTTTCTCTCTTTCATTATATACATGAAACAATAAATAATAAAATAATTTTATTATTTAAACAAATATTACAAAAAGTTACATATCAAATAACTTTATTATTTCACTTAAAAATTTAAAAAAAAAGGATGTATTAAAAATAATAAATATCATAGGGGCAACATCAGAATTTGATAAAATTGACAAAACCGACAGCGAAATGCGAATCCGAAATTTGTCCCCACAAACCAAACGAGAGGCAAAGAGTAGCCAAGTCAGCCATTAACAGATGAAGAAGCTAACGGCTTCAACAAGCCACACGATTTCCTTCGTCACCCATTTCTCTCTGTTTATATATCCAATGACCAGTTAGTTCCCTTTAACTCATTACTTTCTCAACTTGTTGCTATGGTTACCTGCCTTCAATTTCAGTAGAAACTTGGATCAAAGAGTGAATTACTTGGTACCAATGTGAATATTTGATCTTTTCTCTAGCTTTTGAACAAAGTTTTAAAGAATTCCACGTTTAAGAAGTTTTTTGTTTTTTGTTTTCTTGTTGTTTATGGCATTGGGTATCATTTAATGCAATGTGTCTGGAGATTAAATTTGAAGAAACCCAATGAAGGAATCAGTTTAAAAAAAAGATTTTGAGTTAAAGTTTTGATCTTGTTATCGTAAAAATTAAAATGGCTTGTCCTCAGATTTCGTCTTATGAACTTGGAAAGTTTTAATCGGGTGTGTTTATGTTGGAGATTGACGTGTTTTCTTTTATCGTGGAATTTTAGCAGATAACAGAGTTTGGTGAAAATTTCCCGGTTGGTTTGCTGAGAACATTAGAACAATGTTGCCCGTTTGTTCAGCCACCCCTGGTTGTTCTTCACATTCTCAGGTGGAGACTTCACTTTCTTGAACCATAAATTCCTTCTTCTATTCACTATTTCACTTACTTGTGCTGCTTTATTTTATCTTTGAGTTAATGGTTTTAAATAATTTTTTGAAATTTTGATTGTTGCAAGCTTATATAACTATATTTTAATTGAAGTTGTGTAATTTAATTGCTTATGGAACATTCAATCTGTTTGAATGATGAGGAGGTTGTACTAGTTGGTTAATAAGTGAACTAGAGCTGCATTGGGGAATGCTGTGTGTCAGCAAGGACTATATCTTCTTCTATTTTATGTCTTTATTATGTCATAGTTATTTTTGGGAATTTATGTTTATAGGATAAATTATTTTGCTTGTTTTATATTGCTTCCATTGCCAAGGTATGCATTTTCGTGTGTAACAAATGTTTTCCTGGAAGCCTGACATACCTTTAAAATGTTATTGCTTAATTGTTTTTCAAGAAGCAGTTCATTCATGTATTTAAAACGATGCCTCTAGCAGATTTCATTCCATGGAGGTCTGCGACCCTTCACTCTGTTTCAAAAGGACTTTCAGGTCAGATGTAATGCTCAAGACAAGTCTGTTTGGGGCATTTCAAATGGAAATCATCTCCATAGAATGTCATTTAAACCACAAGCAACTGAATCTTTCTACTCCAATTTTGTTGAAAGCACTGAACAACTGGTACCTGTGGACCTCATTAACAGTTATTCTTGTCCAGATGAGTTAGATGATGTTAAATGCAACGTTTCTAATGTGTGGAGTTCTTCAGTTGAAGCAATAAATGAGTCAACCCCGTTAGGAGTTGGGGAACTGAAATATGTGGAAACTTCTAGCATATCTGCTGCAGAAGAGAAAGTTGTGGATTTGACAAACCAGCCAGTTGAAAATGCCAATAATTCCATGGGGATGGTGGGACCTGAAACCACCTCAACTGTTGACGCAATGCCCGAGAATCCCACTGAAGCAACTAGCTCCCTGAACTTTGATAATGATTCACTAACCAGTGTGACAACTGGTCTTGATGATTTTCTGGCTGGGGTTAACAAGTCCATCAACTTGTCATTAAACAAGGGAGAGAATGCTGTGAAAAGCTTATTAGATAAAATTACTTCTTCTATAACTTCTGTTATGACAAGTGCTTCTGAAGCCATAGACAATGCTCAAGCATTAGCTAACAATAAGGTTTCAAACATTTCAAGTGATTTGAAGGAAGCCTCCAGTAAAGCTAATGCTTTTGCTGTTGACCTGTTGAGGCGTACAATTGTTGTAGTGGAGGATTCTTTATCTAATGGGGCTTCCTCTTTTGTATATTATTATGGTTCTGCTAAGGAACGTCTTCCTCCAGAGATCAAAGATGCAATGACTTTCTATGAAGAGAGAACGGGAAAAGCCTTAAAGCCTGTTGGGTCTGCCCTGCAACAGGTATCCTTTTATTTGGCATGCATATCAGTTTCATTAGTCAAGGTTTTAATGTCTTTTGATGATCCACAAACAATTTTCTGCTTGTATATATTAGCGAGTAGTTGGCATCGATACAAATCAGTTGTACTAAACATAGAACATGAGTTGGAGCATCTAAAATTCCTCAGTATTCAATGGTTTAAGGATAAATCTTTTTTTCATCAATTTCATCAATCCTCTGTTTGAGATTACTATAAGCTATGTTTTTAACTAGTATCTATTCAGTTGTGGGGATTTGTTTTTCTGAATTTCAATATGCTGTAAGCAGGTTTACGCTGGTATTGAGGGGTTGGAGAGGAGTCTAGGCTTTGACCCGAATGATCCCATTGTCCCATTTTCCCTTCTCTTTGGCACCTCAGCCACTTTATGGTATGAATGTTCTTATGTGCTTATTATAATTTTACATTCTATTATACATTTTAGAGAATATTTTCTTTTTTGCATGGGGAGTTTATATTTTGTATCAGATCTGTGCAGGGCGTTTTACTGGATATGGGCATATGGTGGTTACTCTGGAGACTTATCTCCTAAACTAACTTTGGAGCTCTTGTCCAGAAAGGAGAATGCTTTACTTATTGATGTTCGGCCTGAGGCAAGAGACTATAAACTTTTTTGCCTTTTCTTCCCCCATTTTTTTTATTTGAGTAAAAGAAGAAAGCACGTACTCTCAAATTTAGGATCTCTACCCTAATTCCTCCTCCCCCCCACCTGAGCAAAGCTCAATGAATCTTGGTCCTTCTATTTTCTAGCATGAATTATGTAAGGTATTTTGAGATTCAATTCAAAGAGACTTAATCGACTAAGTTCTCTTAGTGCTTTCATACCCCTTTGCTAGGTATTATTTGCCCCCATAGATGGGTAATCTATTATTTTTCTGAGGTTAAAATTAGCTTTTCCTATTCTATTGAATTTGAAGTGTCTTATTTTTGGGCATTAATTTTGTCAAGGTCTTAAGAGAGAGAGATGGCATTCCCAATCTTCGGCGAGTAGCTCGGTTTCGTTATGCTAGTGTATCTTTACCTGAGGTTTGGTTAAACATCACAGTCTTACTTGAAATTCAAATTTTCTGTACTTCTGCTCTGTGCTTAGTGCCTAATATTGCTTTTTGCAAAATAAACAATGCATATTGGTGGTTACTTTTGTTCTCTTTCCCTGAAGCTTTATCTTTTATGGTCGTCATCTGTATTCAGGTTAATAGCTCAATGCTTGGACTATTGAAGAGTGGAAGGGACCTTGATGACTCCTTGATTGCAACTGTTATTCGAAACTTAAAAACCATTGAGGTTTGTTTCTTGTTGTTTACCTCTGTGCTGATTTTTGTAGTTTTTTAAAGCTAAATCTTTGTGGAAAGAGTGAAAGAAGACCATGAGCTCAGACTAACCAAACTCTATAATGCTGTCACGTGTTGGCCACTGAGTATAATTGAGTATATCATTTTGTATCTTCGTATGTCTAGGCCTTTTCTTATCCTTTTGCTCTTAAACAACTTCCATGAATTTTAAGACTTGAGAATAATGATAACATAATTAGCAATGCTCTCAACTAGGATAATGTTTAAAGCATTGTTCTTTATTGACTTAGTTTTATTGTTATTCCTTGAATTTGAGTTTTGCGAAGCCATGGCTTGTTGGGTAGGTTGAGGGAAGAGGGCGTGGGAGTTAAAATGACTGTAGTTATGGGGACTAACTGAAGTCATTCTATATATTTATTCTGAGCGATTTCCATTTGTCTAAAGGTTGACCATGCACATCCAGTATTTTCTTGTTGGATCTAGCTCAATTTAACTGCTGGGCATGGCCCTTGTTGCCGACCTTTGAATAGAACATCATAATATGCATTTTTTTCTACCACTTGTAGGACAGGTCTAAGGTCATAATTATGGATGCTGATGGTAGTCGCTCCAAAGGAATTGCAAGATCATTGAGAAAACTTGGGGTTAAGGTAAGTGTTTCTGAATTTTTTAAAGTTCTTCTGAAAGAAAATAGTTTTGAGATCCAAAAAATTAGGAGGAAATAAGAGTCATGTTAATTGGAATTCACACGGTATATTTATTTTTGGTAAGTTAGCATTCATGTCTTAATGTATATCAGGAAACCAGAATGTGACAGAGACCATAGTACCTGTTCTGTTACAGTTAGATATTTAAGAAATGTCTTTGGTCTAAGGAGTGAGCCTATTCAGCTCTAATTGAAATAACCAACATAGATGAAATATAGTTAAATTTGAAACTTTTGATTAGTTTGGTCTGTTATGGCTTTGAAAACTTATGAATAAACCCAAACTGCAATGTGCAAGTCCCAAATGGTTAAACACTAAAACCTAGTCTCTCGTTTCGGAATTCTCAACATTGCATTATTGGCCACTCTCTCATCCCAATCTAACTCCTTTTTTCTAGATATCGTACTACTAACTTTGCACTCCTACCAGAATTATTGCATTTAATGAGTTAAGTAGGTTGTTTGGTATTGCAAAACAGATTGCAGAAACTAATTGTTAATTTGTGTTTTACATCACAGAGACCATACTTGGTCCAGGGTGGCTTTCAATCTTGGGTGAAACAGGGTCTCCGAATTAAGGAACTAAAACCAGAAACAACACTTGCGATACTTAATGAGGTATTTCTTATGCTCTGTTCCCTTTCCTGAAAGTCCTGATATACCAAAGACTAGGTTAAGATTGAACAAAAAGAAAGGGTTTGGGCTGCACTCTACTTTGTTTTGGCATCCAACCTAGAGGAAATTGGTTATAGATGAAGAGACTAACATGAATATAAGACCACTTCAACCTCAAATGTAATTGTTGGCAGGATATACGATCAGTTAACACCCCCAGCCACAAATAATTACTGAGAAGAACAGGTCTATCTTGCAGACTATATAAATGGTGCAATAAAGAAGAAACAGGAAAACAAAAACCCGGTATTCATATCATGTTAAACATCCAACCTATAAAACAATTGAGTATTTCTAGAAAGTCCTACCTTAATATAAGGACACTTCTAAGCCAAATTATTACTGATTTAGGATTTCTAAATGTGCCATTCTTGAATTATTTGAAATAAAAGTATGCTTTCTAACTTTCTTTTTTAGTATAATAATTGTTAACTTGTGTTCAACTCAGGAAGCTGAGGCAATCTTAGAAGATATCAGTCCTTCTCCAGTGCAAGTTCTTGGGTATGGTGTGGTAAGACTCAGGTTCCTTTTTTGATTGTAGGTTTTGTGGTTTATGTTCTAGCTAGAATGATACCCAAAAAATGGTATTCCCATTATTGTAGCCCAAGCGATATTAAAAATATATTTGGTATTTAGAAAGGTGGTTCATTGTTATCATTGTCCTTAAATGTAACAGATGAATTATATAAGTTGAAACCAATCAAATTCTAATAAATATCCTTGTGGCAGGGTTCTGTAGCAGCTATTTATGCACTGCTAGGTGTGTATCTTGTCCTTCCTTGAAATAAATCATTTTTTAAAATTTAAACTTAGAAGATGATTGATTTTGACTTATCCAAAGTATGTCTACAAACATGCAATTTACAGTTTCTTAGAACTTCTGAAATTTATATTGTTGCTAGTTTTGATTTGTAATTCACATTTTGGAGAGAGATATGTTATATTATTTTTCTTCTCTTTTACCTAATTTTCCTGGTATTTTGTCATGCTTGTACACTTCGTAACTGTTTTATTTTGTTTTTATGTTTCTACTGATGTTCCACTTCTATTTCAGAGTGGGAGAAATCATTACAGCTTATTGGCATTCTTGGCCTTGTCCAGGTTTGTGAATTCTAATGGTTTAATGTGTTCTGCTCAAGTTCTTGGTATTTGATATTTATTTCCTTGTTTGTCAAAGCTGAAAAAAACTTTCAACATTTTGAATCTTTTCGAGCTGCTTTGTCTTAAAAGATAATACAGAGGTTTTAGCGAATTTTGAACCCACCGCAACCATTAAAACTTAGGTACTACTGTAAAATATTATCTGGGTTTACGATAAGAAAGGTGATTTGTTGTATGGAATTATGCTATCATATTTAAAATGGATTCTTCTTACATCATTGGGTGACATTGAGTTCAATCCTCTTGTAAGAAATTTTTGTACTGCCAAATATGATAAAACCATAATGGATGTTGATGGAACCAAATGAGAAAAAATGAAAATTTTCGATGTTTCTGCTTTCCATTCATATGCATATATTTCTTTTGGAAATGATTTGATGGTCTTCTATCATCCAATTGCCAAGTACTTACGTGCCCCTTTGGACACTGAGAGGGTTCCCTCCATGCCTAAAATACCAACCACTCCTAGAGAATAAGAAGTTGGCTTTTGTCCCTTGCCCCATCCTTCTCCCCTTCCCTTCACCATTTTCCTTTCTCTTCCTAATATGGTGTATTCTCATAGAGGTTGGTTGAAATCAATGAAAATTATGATATAAGAAAAAATTTCTTCACAAAATTTCTACAAAACTGATCCCATGTGCTGACCTGGGTCAGTTGATATGTTCTAAATGTTTACTACTAGAACTTTAGACTCTTGTTTTTAGTTGAGGTTTAGTGCTGAACATCCTTGGTTCAATTTCTCCAATATTATACTTTGAAGAGAATATTTTAGCTGTTCATTTAAATTTGGCCCTTTGATAATGGTGATTCTAATGCTTCTTCATTGCTGGCTTGTGACTCCACCAGACCATTTACCGGCGGGTCTCTTCCTATGAGAACTCCGAAGATTTGAAGAAAGACATAAGGTGAGCTACTAAGCCCTTTTGTCCAACTTATTTGTGCATGTTTGTTATTAAAGGAAGAAAGAAAAAAACTTTGCTTTTGATCAGGTTGAGTTTCATAGGTCTTCATTATACTCATGGATTAAGGATTAGGATCCTTCGTCTCTGTACCTGTTATTCAGATTTCAGCAAAACTGACTTCAATTATTTATTCGTCTAATCAAAATATTTCTCGAAGGTTGTTGCTGGCTCCTGTAAGACTTGGAGCACAGGCATTTTCATGGGTTGCTGGGAAGTTGGAAACCAATGGCATCGGACTTCCAACTTCACCCTCAACCTTAGATGTTCAAAACCGAGTGTTGCGGGCAGCTGCTAAGCTTGAATCTCAACCATCCGATGCAGAAGGAATTCAAGATCCATCTCCTGAAGTGATGGCTCAAATGAATGAGAAAGTTGATCTCTCTGAGGCATAGGTGTTAGTGGATTTTTCTTGCAATGCAGTATAGCTTCTAATTTTTATCATGTTGAGGAATGCTAGTTGACCTTGCTCATTCAGATATGGTGAACAAAAGACTTTATATAGATACTGAAGTGTTAAAAACCCTAAGAGCATACTTTAGTTAGATAATTCGTATAATATTTTGTACGAAAATTTCATATCAAATATCAAATTCGATCCCCAAAGACAACATTCCATGGTTAAATACAAGAGTTAATTCAAGAAATCCATCTTCCTCAGCAACTTAAACAATGTTTCTATATATGGTGCTTCGTCCTCTATAATCCTAAAACCAATTGTTTTTCTTTCACTACCATGGAACAAAAAATGATAGGAAATTCAATCCCCCCACCTCCACACCAAGACCCACAAAACTGAATCCTGGTACACAGTTCAAACCCCAGCTTTTCAGTTGCTATCAGTGAAATCTGCATCAATTACATCCCCATCAGGCCCCTTGTTTGATGAATCTGAAGGCCCACTTTCAGCACCAGGTGTAGGCCCAGCACCACCTCCTGCACCGGGTTGGTTGTAGAGTGACTGACCAAGCTGCATGACTTCTTGGTTGAGAGCAGCCATGGCATCCTTCATACCTTGTGTTGAACCCCCTGAAATTGCATCCCTGAGCTCTTGCAGTTTTGCCTCTACTTTCTCTTTGACTGGACCAGGAACCTTGTCTCCAAGCTCCTTCAGCTGCTTCTCTGTCTGATAGACAACAGAATCAGCCTGGTTCTTTGTGTCTATAGCATCTCTTCTCTCCTTATCCTCCTTTGCAAACCTCTCAGCTTCCTTTACCATTCTATCAACCTGCATATTGCAACAACAGAATTAGGAAATGATTTATGAAAGATGGCATTTCCAATACTTACATTCCAATGCAATGCAAATGTATAGATTCATGCCACCAAATAATTTGTGGAATGGCTTAAGAATTAAGAGCATTCTATCTGAGCAACAATAGAAATACATCCCAAAATTAAATGCATACCTCATCATTGGGCAAGGTACTGGCACCAGTAATAGTGATGTCCTGCTTCTTCCCGGATCCCTTATCAACAGCAGTGACGGAGAGGATACCATTGGCATCAATGTCAAATTTGACTTCAATCTGTGGAACCCCACGCGGAGCTGGTGGGATACCATCAAGACGGAAGCTGCCAAGAGATTTGTTATCCCTAACAAACTCTCTTTCACCTTGGAGTACATTAATCTCAACACTTGTCTGCCCATCAGCAGCTGTTGAAAACACTTCTGATTTGGAGGTTGGAAGTGTAGTGTTTCTTGGAATGATTTTGGTCATTACACCACCAAGAGTTTCTAGACCAAGTGACAAAGGTGTCACATCCAATAGCACAATATCACTGACATCTCCAGATAAGACACCAGCCTATAACCAATTAGGAGACAGAAGGAAAAACATTAAAAATAGAACTTAAAACAATAACAAGACATGTTGCAGCGAAATCTATAACCAACCCTGTCACATTCAACTGCAAATAAGCAAGTACCGTAGAGCTATCGCTCTAACTTTAACAAGAATAACCCACCTGAACTGCAGCCCCCAAGGCAACAACCTCGTCTGGATTAACTGTCACATTAGGTTCCTTGCCAGTCATCTTCCTCACAAGTTCCTGAACAGCAGGGATACGAGTTGATCCACCTACAAGAATCACCTCATCTATGTCTTTAAAGGAAAGTTTTGCATCCCTCAAGGAATTCTCCACTGGTGTCTTGAGCCTACAGAATATATTATATAGAAAAGATAAACTTAAAATTTCAAGTGATTTTTCCTTTTCCCCTTTCTTTCTTTCTGTTTTTTTTTTTTTTTTTGAAATAAACTGAATAGAAACAGATTGAAATAATAAAAACTACCTGTCAAGTAGGTCTGAGCACAATTCCTCAAACTTAACCCTGGTAAGGGTGGTCTCAATGTGTTTAGGCCCATCTGCAGTGGCAGTAATGAAAGGTAAACTGGAACCACAAAAAGAAAAAGCTGCGTTATTTAACCCCATGCGGAAAATGCATAAACGAAATCATGTACACAAAGATAATAAGGAGAGATAGATGCCTTATGTTTGCCTGAGTCAAGGATGATAACTCCATTTTAGCTTTCTCAGCTGTCTCAGTTAACCGCTGAAGAGCTTGTTTGTCTTTCAAAAGATTTATGCCTTCATCTTTCTTAAAGTTATCAGCAAGCCAATCAACAATTCTCTGTATGTGAAACAAGATACACAAGACATACTTCAGCACTAAAATGATACAACTAATGAAAACGAGAATGTTCATTAATCCGTATACCTACCTTATCAAAGTCATCACCACCCAAATGTGTGTCTCCAGATGTAGAGAGCACTTCAAACACTCCATCACCAACCTCAAGCACTGTAACACATTAACAAATAGACAATAAAACATTTGCCGGTATCTTAACCAATCAAAGATAAATGAAGTCACTCATTGTAACACACAACTTAATGATACATGAAGATAAATAGTTTTTCAACTGGCCAACATACCTGAAACATCAAAAGTACCACCTCCAAGATCAAACACAAGGATGGTTTCATTGTTCTTCTTCTCAAACCCATATGCCAGAGAGGCAGCAGTAGGTTCATTGATGATCCGGAGAACTTCTAACCCAGCAATTCGACCAGCATCCTTTGTTGCTGTCCTCTGGGAATCATTGAAGTAAGCAGGGACAGTAACAACTGCTTTCGTCACTTTATCGTTCAAAAACTTTGAAGCATCATCAACAAGCTTTCTCAAAACCTATATGCAAAAGTAGAAACAACCCATTAGCAATAGAAAGACTCTAAATTTCTACAAAAGACAACCCCATTTATTACTAAACATAACAGCAAAAGTAAGAAGCCAGCAATAGAATTATGGTATACCTGAGCTGAAATTTCCTCGGCTGCGAATTGTTTACCAATGGCAGGACACTCGAGCTTAACATTCCCGTTCTCATCTCTACTGACCTTGTAAGAAACCTGTTTGGATTCCTCATCCACTTCCGACATCTTTCTTCCTATAAACCTCTTCACAGAGAAAAACGTATTCTCAGGGTTCACAACGGCTTGCCGTTTCGCAATCTGCCCAACCAACCTATCCCCACTCTTGGTATACGCCACAACAGACGGCGTCGTTCTTTGCCCTTCCGCATTCGTAACAATCGTGGGCTTCCCTCCTTCCATGGCCGCCACGGCCGAGTTGGTAGTCCCTAGATCGATTCCGACCACTTTCTCGTTCACCACTCTCACGGGCCCAACATTGCACCGTTTACCGTTGTTGTTGGTTTTAGCGAGTCGTAAGAAGGCGGCGTTTAACGGTGAAGTTTTGCCCAGTCTTTGACCGAAGAAAACTGTTCTGGGTGAATGGTGGTTGGGTCTTCTGGAAGAAGCGAAGCCGATACCACCGAGGACGTGGATTTGGGCGGTGGAGGAAGCCATTTTTTCAAGTATATGTAACCAAAACAACAATCAGAGGAACAATGAATTGGTAAGGCAAAGAGAGTGTGAAGAAGGCAAAGGCAAGGACAAAGGCTTTAGGCTGATTTGGGCTTGAGGTTGGGAAGAAGATAAGAGAATGGCGGCACAGGGTTTAGAGTTTTTAAGGGGAACGAAGGTGAAGTGTGAGTATTTCTGCGTGCGGTGTGTGTGAGGGTTAGGTAGTGACACGTGGGCAGATTCCAGAAAGATCTGAATTGTTGGGTTTGTGGCTGTTTAGGTGAAAAGAAAGATCCAGGTGGTTGGAGAATTTGGGCTGAAAGCTCAACCCATTGTTATAGCTTCAAAGAAGACATACTCTTAAACAAAGCCCAAAAAAGCTCAACCCATTGTCTACTTCTCTTCTGAAGTCTAAACCCTTATTCTCTCTCCAAATTTCACCATTTCTTTCATTCCCGACAACCGACGATAACCTCGCGGCATCAAGGTTAGTCATTCTTACCTCTCTCCTTTTCTTGCGTTGCCGCTTCGTTGGCGGCTGTGTTATCCCCTTTTCTTCCAATTGTTTACTTATTTTAACCTTTTGTTTTTTGAATTTCTGGTAGTGTATCTTTTTGGATTGAATCGGAACTGAATAGTTGAGTTATGATTTGGGTTTTCTTTTCTTTTTTTTTTAATTTTTAGCTTTTTATGATGAAATTTCAGATCCACACACTGAGCAAAGTTTGCTTTATCAGTTTTAAACTTAACCACCATTTATGTATGCGCATAGGGTTTAGTTGAAAGTTAATGGTTTTTTTAATCGGATTGTATTAGGATTCGAGCTCAGCTCTTTGATCAACAGGCACGTCGACTTACTATTGAACCAAAAGTAGATAAACTACATCATGAGTTAAAATTGCTGGCTCAGCATTGTGAATTTAAATCAAGATGAATTGAATCTGTAATTTTACAATTTGACATGATTTTAGTTAGGAACCTGTGGAACTCAGCATTGCAGAATTTCACCTAAGTCTTACCCTTCAGTTTATTAGCTTGTATTTGTATGGATTATTCACCTCCCCATTTTCATTTATGCTTCCTGTTTGGTCTATCCCGTTGGTTTGTTTCAAAATCAAAGTTACATTGATTTTAGCTTTACTAGCTTGTATTTGGTATCTAACATCAGGATGATGCATATCTGACATGTATTGTTCTTCCAATTAGTTGAATTGTGTTGATGTCATGTAAGATATTTTCTTCTTTGTTGTTTATGCTCTTATCCACTTCTTGGAAGTCCAGTTGTTATGTTAGTTTAGGCATGATAGGATCTCTTATCATTACATTTTCTTATTAAATTTGATTTATAAATTGTAATGTCTAGGCCTGCAGGATGTGCCTATGCTATCTAGATATGATCCGTTTATTTTTTAGCTAATCTTTTATTTTCTATAATGTTGCATTTCAGTTTGTAACTCCAGAAGTATATTTTTCTACCTACTAAATTCTAAACTGAGGTTAGAAGATGGAAATTGTTTCGAGGGAGGGTGAAAATGCATTGTCAGGTCCAAGGCCAATGGAATGGTCTACTGTTCCATTCACTCAAGGACCAGAGAGAAATGGATATAAACGTACATCAAGTCTGGAATCACCAATAATGTTGCTGACTGGACATCAGAGTGCTATATATACAATGAAGTTTAATCCAGCTGGAACTGTTGTCGCATCTGGATCACACGACAAAGAAATTTTTCTGTGGAATGTCCATGGGGACTGCAAAAACTTCATGGTTCTAAAAGGGCACAAGAATGCAGTCTTGGATCTTTATTGGACTACTGATGGATCCCAGATAATATCAGCTAGCCCTGACAAAACTTTGAGAGCATGGGATGTTGAAACAGGGAAACAAATTAAAAAGATGGCAGAACACTCTTCTTTTGTGAATTCGTGCTGTCCATCACGGAGAGGGCCACCTCTTGTTGTTAGTGGATCTGATGATGGAACTGCTAAACTCTGGGATATGCGTCAGAGAGGTGCTATCCAAACATTTCCTGATAAGTACCAAATTACAGCCGTTAGTTTCTCTGATGCATCAGATAAGATCTTTACAGGTGGCATTGACAATGATGTTAAGATTTGGGATTTGCGTAAAGGTGAAGTAAGCATGACACTTCAAGGTCATCAAGACATGATAACAGGTATGAGTTTGAGTCCTGATGGTTCCTACCTTCTCACCAATGGTATGGATTGCAAGCTCTGCATATGGGATATGCGCCCTTATGCACCACAGAATCGTTGTGTAAAGATTTTGGAAGGTCACCAGCACAATTTTGAAAAGAACTTGTTGAAATGTGGTTGGTCACCTGATGGAAGCAAGGTCACAGCTGGTAGTTCAGATAGGATGGTGAACATATGGGACACAACTTCTCGACGCATCTTGTATAAGCTTCCTGGCCACACAGGATCTGTGAATGAATCCGTCTTCCATCCTAATGAACCTATCATTGGTTCATGTAGTAGCGATAAGCAGATTTATCTGGGGGAGATCTGACCTTTGCTAGCATTTGGCACTTGCTTCCAAATTGATTGTTAGTGATTCCTAGCCTAATCTTGGAGATTCTTATTGTCCTATGTAGGCCTAATTAAGTTGTATTCCTTGTCTGTAGTTTTTAAGCTGAACTTGACATCTTTATTGACAATGTAATACATTTTGTTCAAAACTCTTACATTTAGGAATATTGGTTGGGTACCGGTCATACAATTGGGGAATTGCACTTATGTGTTCAACTGGGCTTGCCATCTTCCTGCTCCTTCCAGGATTGACTTAGAAATACCAAAGGCAACTTCTGAACCTTTGATAAACATAGGTCTGGCTCTTGGTTCTTTTCTGGCCGAAATAGACCTGATCCAACTAGAAAGATGCGTGGAAAATGGTTTGTTTTCTACCTTGTTCCTTGAGTTGCATGTAAACTGTATTACATGGGAATTTATTTGAATAATCTGACTGATTGTGGTGGTAAAAGTGGGACATTTCGGGTTCTTTTTCTAATCTAAAACGAACTTTAAATAAGTTTATTATTTTTTATTAAGCGGCAATTTTTGGATTTGTGTATAAATTTCTTTTTGGACTTAGTTTAAGTAGGTGCATTTATATTGTGCTTGGTGAATTAACAGGAAATTACCTTCTCACAATCTTGTAACGAAGTGAATTCAAATCATGCAACAAAGAGACACGTGGTAAGTTTTAATTTTGTCAAAAACTAATTTTGAGACACGTGATTAGTTTTAACTTTGTCAAAAACTAATTTTGAAACGATGAAATGAGTTCTTTTTTAAGTAAAGTCTTGATTTTGAATATTGTAAATAAAAAAAGTACATATTAAAAAAGTTTGTTCTTCTTATGAGATTTAATCTGACTTAATTTTAAAATAATTAAAACTCAAAGTGATTATCAGATATCTGAAGATTTCAAATAAAAAAGTAATTATCAAATATTAGAGGATTTCAGATAAAAAAATGATGAAATGAGCTTAATTGTATATAAGATGACATTAAGTTGCAACCATTAAATTAGTTTTTGTAAAAAGTTTCTTCCTCCCAAAATTTTTTTTAATGTAATTTTGTACATTTTCAGATAAAGAAGAAAGGTTGTTTGTTTAATAATTGTTGAAGCACTTTTTAATTTGCCAAAGAGCAAAAACTAGCCGTTACAACAAAGCGGCCTCTCTCAACGGTCCATTTCCAGCTTTCCACTCGAAGATTCGAACGTTATGCCCAAACTTTCTCACCTTATATACTCTCCTCTCCTCGTTTTTCTTCTACAACAAAGCCTCTTATCTCTGTCAGAAACAATCTCTTTTTCCATCAAATACGATTCCAAGTTTCTCTTCAATGGGTCTCTCAATTGAGAATTCTGCAACACAATCTCACAGCCGCATGCACAAAACCTTCCTCATCAGCAACTACATTCTCTTGGGAGCAGCCTCGAGTTGCATCTTCCTTACCCTCTCCCTCCGCTTACTCCCATCGCTGTGTGGCTTCTTCCTTATTCTCCTCCACGTTATCACCATTGTCGGCGCCGTTGCAGGCTGCTCCGTCGCCACTTCCGGGTCCAACAAATGCTACGCAGCCCACATGGTTGCTATGGTGCTAACATCGATATTCCAGGGCTCTGTCTCAGTGCTAATATTGACCAGAACTTCTGATTTCTTGGGGTATTTGAAGTCTTACGTAAGGGAAGAAGATGGGGTTGTTATATTGAAGTTGGCAGGTGGGTTGTGTGTGGCTGTCTTTTGCTTGGAATGGGTGGTTTTGGGGCTTGCATTTGTGTTAAGATACTATGCTTTTGTGGAAGGTCATGGGGTTGGAAATGGGCAATCATCGAATCAGAGGAATGGGAAAGGTCAAGATGAGGATTTGAAGAATTGGCCATGGCCTTTCCAAGTTTAAGAGACTTTTTTGAGTTTTGACAGCAAAATTTTGCTTTTGTTTTTACATTTATTGTTGGGGAATTCCAGTTCTTTGTATTGCTTGTTTATCATCAGTTTGTGATCAGATTGATTATTCGTTATAAATTGTTGATTTTGTTGGTATTTTTTGCTTGGGAACCAGTTGGAATTTAGTTTTTTTTTTTTCTTGATGTAAGAGATTCACTTAATATTTCAAAAAAAAAAAAAAGTAACAGAATTGATGGAAAGTAATCACTTGCTTAATCTACACAATTGAAAGTATATACGCATCATTGAGCTGACAGTTTGTGCTCGGAGGAAGCAATGGGATGAAGGAACCCTCAACTTTTGAACTGGACAGACATACAGACTTCGTGGTTTTTGTCGAACTTAAGATGTGCTCGTTCTCGCTCATCTTGTACCTGGTTTGTAACAGTTTAGCCAAGCTCACGCTCAAGCCGAGATATTTTTTGGTTGTTTACTAAAATTTGGTTTTGGAATAAACGAATTCACGTCATTAGTTTTATAGGATAAAACTAAAATTAACGAATTCACGTCATAAGTTAATATGAAATCTAATATTTGGTATTAAAATTTGACTATGAAGCTACTAGCGATATATCATGAATGAGAAGATTTAATAATCTTAGAAAAAAATCATGAATTACATTGACTGTAACTAGAATTGTGGAGTGGGAAGGTTTGTATACTAGAATTATGGAGCAAGGAGGATGCAAAAGTTTTATAAAAAGTCATGAATTTCACATCAATTATAAAATTATAAAATATTTTTCGTAGGATAAAATCAATAAAATTATAAATACTTTCAATTTGTAAATATTTTTAATTTATTAGATATTTTTTATGAGATAAAATCATAAGATTAACGAGATCAAATTGATGTAAACTGTGATACCCAACTTATTTGGCTTCACATTCATGTAAATTCTTCTGTTTCGATTCCTTTTCTCAAACAACGAGGCATCAGAAATCTTCACCACATAACGAAAAGGATTTCATGCAAACATAGCCATGGATGAGAGAATTGATAGGGAAAGAAAGCACCCTAAACCAAGGAAACAACCTCAAAACATGCAATTAATGACGGTTCAATTGGTTCTTGAAAGGAACCCCTTGAAAGGAACCCAAATGCTCACTTCATTACCCTTTAATCTTTTTTAAACTCTCCCTCCTTTCTTCCCGTCTCTATGTTGAATCTCCATCTATTGTTTCTCTGTTAACTGGAAGACAACATATACCGGCTTCTGTGAAGCTGCTCTGCTAGATTTTATTCTTGCCTAGATTTCCAGTCAAATTACATCATGCTTTAAAATTGCTGACTCAGCTTTGTGAATTTAAAAAATAGAAGTTACATGAGTTTATAAACTTTTGCTTGATCAAAATGTAAATCTTATACCTTTTTTTTTTTTGAAAAAATATCATAAAAGCTCCATTAAAATCAAAGAATTACATTATTTTGTCAACTGAAATGATTTTATAAAGTGTTAGATTTTTAGTTTTAAAATTTTGAGTTTAAATCTTGACAATTTAACTATAAAAAAAATCAAAGAGTTACATCCAAATTACATAAAAATTCAGGAATTTTAAAATTTATCTTAGAATTTTTTTAATATTTTTTAAAAATAATTAAATCAATGTTGGAAAAAATTGATAATTTTATGCACAATTGAAAAGTATTTTGGGTAAATAGGTTAAAATGGATAGAGAAATGACTTCCACTTTTAGGGTTTAGACCAAGTGTTACTTAATGGGCTTTTAAACCCATCGCCATTCCAAAATCCAAACCCACCTGCCGACTGTTCCCTTCTTATTTGACCTCCAAATCCACGGCATCTCCTCTTTTTCTCTGAATTCAGGTTAAGACCAAAACCCCATCATTGCTTTGGGATTTTCAGGTCAGCTTCGGCTACTGCTTTCTTTTTATCTGTTCATTGTGTTTTACCGTATAAAGAAAAGAAATTGCTTCGCCTAGTAACAAAGCGAGAGATTTCATCAAAAGTTGGAGGAAACCCTTATCTGTTTTAAGCTGTTGGGTGATTTTTTATGTGAATATAATTTGTTTGAGAGATATAAGAAATGGGTTTAACTTGGATACTTGATAGTTGATGAGTAATTAAGTATTGATATGATTTGTTACAAATTTCATTGATTTTATGATGGTTTCAAGAATGACCAAACCCTGATTTTGTTGCTGTAAAGTTTTTTTGTTTGAAACTAGTATTATTAGTTTGTGATTGAAATTTGATGCTTTTTTTTTTCTTCTGTTCTGTTTAACATCATTTGTTGTTCCTAAACTACTTGGACTTTCGTTTCCAGAAGCAAAACGTACAAAGTTGTTTTTAGATGCCAAAGCAAGCAGTTATGTTTTTTACTAATAAAAATTTGAAACTATATATATATATATATATATATATATATATATATACACACACTTTATTTTAGAAAACAAATGCTTGATTTTAATTTATAAGGAGCAATAAATTTTGTTGCATTTTAATCGGTTATTTATTTTTGATTTGGGGAAGGGGATTAAAATCTTGCTCTGAGTAGGGGATCACGTACTAACCATTGAACCAAATGATTGGATGCAATTCATTGTTTATTTTCAGTCAATTATGATTTTGCTTCCTTCCATTGCTTTTCTTCTTAGCAATTTTAGGGGTAAAAAACAAGCTGCAATCAAATAGACTTTAAAATTTTTTTCTTTCCATTTTCCTTAAGTCAACCAACCAAGATGAGGAATTATATTTTCCGTTTCTTGTTTCTTTTGCCTCATTTTTTACATGATTTTTACCTTCCATCACCTTTTTGAAGAATCAAATAGACTAATAGAGCATTAATATTTATGTGCTGGATAAGCAATTTCTAGGGCCAGCATGTTCCTTTCATTCCAGTTGCCATGTGGACTTTTGGAAGATAGACTAATGATATCTGGTGAATTTCAGCTTTGAAAGCATAAACACATTGGACCATCTTTCTGCTTCTGAAATGGCTGGGCTATTTGCATATAGCAGCCTTGCACCAAAGACTAAGAATTTGGTCGTTGCTGGGGGTTTGACAGCATTCGTCTTCGGTGTATATTTCTATACTATGAGAGCTGTTGGGGGTACAGATGAGCTTCAGGTGGCAATAGATAAGTTTGAGGAGCAGAAAAAGCAAGAAGCCAAGTCAAGCATGCGATCAAAGGCTTGATCTCATTACTCTTTGTAGTCAAGAACAAGGTGAAGGTCATTATGTGACAATCACAAAATTGGTTGCTTGAATCTGTGTTTTGAACTGATTGTCTTTGTTGGTTTTTCATTGTATTTTAGCTGATAATAATAAAAATAACTTATTACTACTTTTTTCTTGGACATATCCCTCAAATTAATTTTTTGTCATTACTCTTTTAGGATCTGGTTTGGACATGAATGCATTTATTATGATTATCAAGTTTTTTGTTTTACAAAGATATATGCTTATATTTGGCACATAAGATTTTGATATGATAGAATAAAATGATATTATGAATATGATTAGATTAAATAATATCATTTTATCTTATATTTGATGTGTGCAAGAATTAAAATAGAATAATTATTTATTAGTTAAAATTATCCTTCTTAAAAGTTTATACAATTTAAATTATTAATATAATTTTTAAAAATATACTATGATATTTAAATTTAATCTTGTGAATTAAAAATAATTTTTTTTTACTGTGAGATGATTAAATTATTTTATATTAAAAGGACGATAATTTTCCTTATAATCTTATCTTTTTCAATTAAATATAAATCAAATATAATACAAAATGATTATCATAAGGGTTCAATTAACAATAATAAAAAGATAAGAGCTCATTTGAAAATTTTTCAAAAACAAAGGACTTTTTAAAAATATTTTGGCCGTCTATATATAGCCCTTCGTGTCGTGCTTTGCCTATCTCGCACGCATCGTCGAACCCAAAAAAATGGAAAACAGAACCATACAAGAAGAAAACAAATCATCACCAACATGCGAAAACCTTCCTTCACTCCTCTCTTCGTTCGTCGACACCTTTGTTGACTTCTCGGTCAGCGGCCTCTTCTTACCCCAACAGAAACAAGACCAAACTCCTCAAAAACCCCTTCAAACTCATTACCCCTCCGCCGACCGTCTCGTTGCCATCGGCGATCTCCATGGCGATCTCGAGAAATCCAAGCAAGCCCTCCGTCTCGCCGGTCTTATTGATGGGTCCGATCGTTGGTCTGGTGGGTCTACGACCGTTGTTCAGATTGGTGACGTGCTTGACCGTGGTGGGGAGGAGCTCAAGATCCTTTATTTCTTGGAGAAGTTGAAGCATGAAGCTGTTAAAAGTGGTGGGCAGTTGATAACTTTGAACGGTAATCATGAGATAATGAATGTGGAAGGTGATTTCCGTTATGTAACTGGAAAGGGTTTAGAGGAATTCAATGTTTGGGCTTATTGGTATGGTGTTGGGAACAAAATGAAGAGTTTGTGTCATGGCTTGGAAAAACCCGAGGACCCTTTTAATGGGATTCCTTTATCTTTTCGTGGTGTGCCTGAAATGTTCTCTCATAGCATTAGAGCCAGAATAGCTGCATTGAGACCCGATGGTCCAATTGCTCGTCGATTCTTAGCTAATAATGTGACTGTTTTGGTTGTTGGAGATTCTGTTTTCGTGCACGGAGGGCTTTTAGAGAAACATGTGGATTATGGGTTGGAGAGGATAAATGAGGAGGTGAGGGATTGGATTAATGGATTGATGGGGAGGCGTGCACCAGGATCTTGTAAAGGGAGCAATGCTGTGGTTTGGTTGAGGAAATTTTCAAATGGATTGGCAAAGAATTGTGATTGTTCACTTCTAGAACATGTCCTAGCTACAATTCCTGGTGCAAAGAGGATGATTATGGGTCACACAATTCAAGAGATTGGAATCAATGGTGCTTGTGATAATAGAGCAATAAGGATTGATGTTGGAATGTCGAAAGGGTGCATTAATGGGTTGCCTGAAGTTTTGGAGATTAATAGGAATTCAGAGTTGAGGGTGTTGACTTCGAATCCACTGTATCAGAACAAGAACAAAACTTATGCAGATGCTGCAAGGAAAGAAGGGCTTGGATTGTTGATACCAGAACATGGGCCAAAACAAGTCGAAGTGAAAGCTTAACAGTTTTGAGCATCTAAACTACTGAAGGCTGTTGCCTTATAACTACTGCACTTATATTCTGTTGCTGGTAGCCAAGTAGCAAATGATTAATCATTGGATGCGCATTTGATGTGCACTTGAATTGCAATCTTTGCTTATACAGTCATTGATATAGTAATTTCATAATTTGTTTGACTTTATGTTGTCTCTAGTGTTTAGACATAGAGAAAAGTTTCTCTGCTTATGATTCACTGAGACATGACCTGTTCCTTGTATTGGAATATGTGAAGTTAAAACTTCTCCACTTATGTTAATTTTGTTCTGCCATAGTGCATTTTCATACTATGATCATTGTGAAGTGCCTTTTCTTTCTGCAACCTTCTAAGAATTAATCTATACATTGATTATAGTCTCTTATTAGGTGAGGAACCCAAGTGAATATAAGGTTTCGTATGTCACTGATATGTTGATGCTTTTATGTTTGGGGTAAAAGTCAGTTTAACCTTCTATAACTATAATCATCTCATCATAACATGAAGGCTTGATTTTATCTTGACATCTTTGATGAACCATGTCATCATATTTTTATGAGGTTTATGTGGTTCTGTTGCTTAGATACCATCTGTCATAGTAATGGCGGTGAAGGTTTCAACACATAGGAGGAAAAGTTCATGTTCGTAGTTTGCATAAGACTTTTAGAAGGAAAAGAGCACACACACAGAAACAGCTGCATCTACGCCCCCAACCAAAGCCACACACACACAAACAACTGTTCAACACCCCCAACCAAAGCCACACACACCCCACCTAACAGTTCCACCTCTTATTATATTATATTGGAATTTAAAGAGAAGTTGCAGCTTCATCATGTTTCTCTCTACCTCCGTTTTTTCTTGAATGACAAGACACTTGGAGGAGAGGGAAATTGATATTTCTTCTTCAGACCTTAGGGCTTAGAGCTTGACTTCTCTATCACAAATCCAACTGAATGGAATACTGGGTGCTTCCTTGGCCCTTTCTTGAGCTCTCTCGTCCAGCCTTCTAATTCTTGGAGGAAGTCCACACACGTAGTCCTGAGCTCTACGCCCATCAGCTGAAAGTCCAGTAAGCTCCTTCACCTTCCATCTGTCCACCAGGTACTCTACTATACCAGCATAGTCCTCCGCAGTGTAAACCCCAATTCTTTGTGCAACAGATGAGTAGTGCTCGAAAAGGTTACCATCTTGGCCATCATACATCAAATGGGCTGGCATGGTGATTTTCTTCTTCATCATGTCAGCAAAGGCCAGGACTGCTCCATCAGGATCAATCTCAAAAAGCTTTTCGAGAATTTTAGTATATGCTGTCTCATGGCGCTTTTCATCTGAGGCAATCGACCCACATAGTTGAGCCAACTTAATGTCCCCATGCTCCTTAGCTAGCCTGGCTGTATTCCCATGGGAGATAAAAGTTGCCCTTTCTTGGAATGTTGTGTAGATAAATCCAAGATAAGGATTATTCTCTGTACCGGGATCCTATAAATATACAGAAGCGAAATTAAAAAGATTGATCAGTAGGGGTCTAAAGCGCTCAGTTTAACAGTGTTACAGTGATGGATTGTAACTAAATAAAACAGAATCTTGCATGTATGTTCTTTTGAGAGTGAAAAGTAATTAAATGTCAACCATCCTCCTGAATTGCACTCCTTCATGACCTCATTAGGGCCACTTTCTACACAATTTAGTGAAATTCCAGAAGTGATATAGTGCAACGTTAAGATGCATTTATTTTCACAATGTGTTAATCCAAATTAGAAGATGTAAAGAGACAAAAAGGAAGGCATGCATGACTTCTTAAAACTGCGTGCATGGGCTTTGTTAGCCCCTCCATAACAAAAAAACACCACCAAAAGACTAAAGAAAATTGAACTTAATAGATTGTGCGGCCTTAGAGACCCCAATATGCGGTCCTTCAATGAAATGCAAAGAATTCAACAAAGTTGTGCATGTCAAGTGCATCTGAGGTTTCAAAATTAGACCGAGGGGTGAGTAAATTGTGTAGCAAGCATCTTACCATTCCTGATCCAATCAAATACTGGAGTGTCTTCTCAATTTGCCTCATGTTCACTCTTCCAGACAAGTAGAGATACTTGTTAAGTAGATCAGTATGCCTGTTTTCTTCTGCTGTCCATGACCTCGTCCAAGTTGCCCAAGCAGTAGGGCTAGCACCAGTTTCATCACGAGTTCCATCTAAGGTATTAAGCATTGTCTGGTAAGTTGGAAGGGCTTCCTCCGTGATCATATCACCAACCAAAACAACAAAGTACTCATCTGGAATCTCCTTTGCCCTTTCTCTAAGTTCTTTGACTTGATCATCAAATCCATCAGAGGCAGGATCTGGAAGAAAATCCTTGGGTTGCCAACATTTCTCAACTGGTTTGAGATGAATTAGAATGTTCTTCCTAGCCCAGTCATCCAAAGATTTAAATATCTCAATCTTCTGAGGTGGCATGGAGTGGGAGACCTGACCATGCACTGGTTTAGAAGGCATGAAAGACCTTTTGAGACTCTCAGCCTGTCTGCATTAAGAAAAATGAATGTGGGATCACATTATCATAGATCAGATATGCCATTAAGGATTAAAAGGCAACAATAAATTGTAAAAGTATAAACTTGATCTCACAAATTTGTTACTTGCATGTTCCAGTTATCCAGCACAAGAAAACTATAAAGGAGGTTATAATAGAATATGCAATAACAATGTAATGGAACAGCTTTATATGTTGTCAAAAAGAAAAGCAGCTTTAATATGTGTAACATGCCCCATGCTGCTGATTACACAACCCGACTAAATTTCATCAAATATCGTCATTAGTTTTTTTGCCTGTAAATTAGAATTTAATGTAGTGGGACAATAGTTAAGTTTAGTGTCCCAAGCAAACAGCTTTGACATATAACATGTAGAAGATCAAATGAGAGATCAGGATGTTAGATAGTGGGCTTTAAGATGCAAAAAGGTAGCATCCCTAGTTTTGGGATTGGCATCCTATAGTAGTATAAATAAGTGACAACATCCAAGTGATCAAATGAAGAAAAAAATACATTATCAAAGTTGCAAATTACCGATTGTTCATCTGATTTGAGTTCAAGTAAATAGAGAATGTAAACAATCATGCTTTTTAAGTGCAATCATATAAGTACAAATTAAAAGTGCTTTATCTGCATGAATCATAGCTTATGACCCATCCAAGGACACTAATTATATGATCCGAATTTACGAGGCAGGAACCACTTGAAAAACAACGTAGATTCACTACATTACCATTTGAAAAGCACAAGTAGCTATCAGCCACTCTGAACAACCACAAGGAAAACCAAGTTGTTGAGAACATTTGAGGGAAAATAGCATCAGTCAAACAAGGGAAAATGGATTGAATTCTATATTGATCAGTACCTCACACACCATCGAAAAACTAGAGCAAGAATGGACATAAAGATGCGGTAGATTCAAAGTAGAAACAGAAGCAATTTCAGGAAATTGTGCAAGAAATTATGAAAGATGATGTTTAAAACAAGCAATCATCAGGAACATTTTATTCTGTTTAAAGAAAAGATTTAAAACAAGAAAAAAGGAATAATAATGTTAGAGAACTGAGGAGTGAGGACCACATATTCTAAACTACTTCTACCAAATTGAATATTCAGTTCAAAATAAGATTCAACCATATTGCAAAAACAGTAATATGAAATTACTTAAAAGGAGAAAAGAGGAAAACTATGTTACCTCATTAGCAGTCTAGAGAATCCAAACTACTTCCATCAACTTGAATTTTATTTTCAAAGACATAGATTAAACCATATTGAAACAAATTAAAATGAAATAAATGGAAAGACAATAGGGCAAGTTAAAGTGAAATATCAGATAATAAAATGTAACTAGATTTGATAAATGACACAAAAAAAGGAAGATCCTTTTGTGCAGAGCGGTCACAATCTTTGAAATTGAATTAAACAAAAGGGGCAACATGAATACAGAAGCAGCAGGCACACAGATATAACAGAAAAATTCTCACATTGCGTGGAAACCTCAATCCCTGATCCCTCCCAAGTACGACAAGAGCATATGCAGGTACAGGCATGGATGAAGAAAAAGCTTCAGTATTGTTTTTGGTGCATAAGAAAAGGGACGAGACCAAGATATATGTGCATAAATGAGACACCAGCAATATCTGCCACTAATCAGGCGATCATCAAGGATATAAACCTTCAAACTGTAAGCCTTAACATAATAGATTATAGATTACAGTAAAGACTAGATAATCGATGGTTAAGAAAATTTAACAAAATAAAATTTTCAGAAATAAGCTATTTTCTGTCCTCTCAAACAAAAACAAAAACAAAAACAAAACATGAAAGAGGAAAACCAGATATTTGCCTTTTCGTGGAAGACCCGGATCCATGATTTTGAGGGACAGACCCAGATCCAAAACTAGATAAAACTAAAGAAAAGAAGTTAAGATCCATGGTTTTAACAAGAAAGAAATAAGCTAATTTTAGTCCTCTCAAACAAAAACAAGACATGAAACAGGAAAACAATATTTTTGACTTTTCTTGAAAGACCCAGATCATGATTTTGGGGTAAAGACCCAGACCCTAAATCAGCTAAAACTAAAGAAAAGAAGTTAGGATCCATGATTTTAACAAGAAACAAATAAGTTATATTCAGTCCTCTCAAACAAAAACAAGACATGAAACAGGAAAATCAGATATTTGACTTTTATTGAAACACCCAGAACAATGACTTTGGGGTAAAGACCCAGATCCAAAATCAGCTAAAACTAAAGGAAAGAAAATAATTAAGTTATAACAAGCAATAAAAAGCCAACAAAAAAAGGCAAAAGAAAGACACTACCATTGAAAGACATGTGCTTTTCCATCATGAACCTTAATCAGTAAAAATTAGATATATAGAAGCTATAACAATAAAGATATAGAAATAAGAAATGAACCTTATTTCAATTATTTATAACTTAAAAGTATTATTCCAAATGGAAAAGAACTACATTAAAGGCCATTATACAATACAGACAATAAGAACATGAAGATCATAAGACATCATCACAACATAAAAGAGACCTCTTGAAAGCCATGTTAGTTTGCAAAAAAAACAAAACCCAGCTCCAAATCAGCTAAAACTAAAGGAATGAAGTCAAGATCCATACTTAACAAGAGAAAAATTGAAGTTATAATAAGGAATAAAAAGCAAACAGAAAAAAAATAAAGAAAAGAAAATAAAGAAAGACACTTACTTGGAGCTAGGAGGAAGAGTGGAGACCATGCAACAAACCTTGGGATATCGGAGGCTGGCCATTGGTGGAAGAGCAAAAGAAGGGAGTTTCTGAGATTGAGAAGCGATAGGATTGAAATTCAAAGCCATTTTTTTTTTCTTACTTGAAGTGTTCAAGACTGCCTTTCTTTTTTAGGAAGTTGTTGGTTGCTGCTTCAGATTCCTCACAGATGAGAAAATAAATGCAACGTGAAAGTAACAGAACCGGACATTGAGTTTGTTCCACATTAACATTGGCCCTAACTTTGGTTTGAATTACTAAATGCCATTCACCGAACGCCATGCAAATTCAATGATGTCCTTTGTTTCTTTCGCATTTTTATTTTTTTATCGCTTTCAATGTTAACATTGTCACGCGCCGACTGACCACTTGTGTCGGCTTCATTTGCTTCTATTATTATATTAATTAATATTGTCACCTGACCATTGAGCAGTTGTCACAGATAATGGATTCAGTTTGATTCCCTTGAAATTTTAAATTTCTATTACATAAATCGATTTCATTAAAAACAAAATTTGAGTAAATCAAACGTGAATTAATATACATAAAATAAAAAAATTATATTTTAATATATTATCGTCTATAAATTATACACAATTAGTAAATCATATTTTATAAAAAAATTAATTTTAAAATTTTAAAAATAAATATACTTAATTTTAATAAGTTTGGTTTTTGTTAGATTATATTTATGAAGAATTTTTAAATTATAATAAAATATTAAATATAATATTTAAATTTTAAAAAAATTTATACATAAATTATAATTTTATTAATTAATATAATACATAAAAATTATTTATTTATCACATATAATTACTTAAAATTAATCATACTTTGCAAGAGAAAAAAAATCATTGGTCTTTTTTAAACTTAAAATAGATTTTGATTAATAAATAATTGATTTAATCGGTTAAGATTTATTTTTTTTAATAAAAATATTTTGGGTTTGAATCGTACTGATAATTATTTATTGAGATCATTTTAAATGCATGATTTATAATAATTATTTTAAACTGTCAAATATAACATATTTTATTTTGATTTGAAAGATTGAATAATTTATCTATCTCATTTTTTTCGTAAAAAAAAAATTTTTGTTTTCAAATATTTTAAAATAATAAGATGGATATTAATTTTGAAATAAACGAAAAAGAAAAAAAAATTAGAATTCAATTCTTTAAAAAATAAAATATATGTGTATATAAAATACTTGAGTGCATATAAATTTTAATTTATTGACAAAAGATAGTTTGTCCTTTTCCTGTTTATAGTAAAACATACTATTTTCACAGCATATCACTCAAATCACTCGGCTCCTCGTAAACATCGACATAAATGTTTTTTAAAAAATATTATTCAATAAAATTTCTAATTTTCAGATTAGAAAATAAAAATAAAATATTTTGGGCAGGCAAAATTGACACTGTGGAACGTAATGTTAAATCTGTTTCATGTCATTTAATAGTTTTGGTATTTGTTGGATAGTGGCTATACATCAACATCAATTCCTAAGTTTTGTACTATTTGTGGAATCAATAATAAATTTTTCATAGGGGCAGTGTTGGAGTAAACATCTGCATAATTGTTTTTGGAAAAAAGTTTCTACAACAAAATTTGGGCAAAACTGCCACTATTGGAAAGTAGGATTGCATCCGTCTCACGTCATTTGTATATTATTCGATAGTGGTTGCGCATCAACGTCAATTTATAAGATTTTACAATTTGTGAAATCAATAGTTATTGGACGGTGCTTACTGAATCACAAGTTTTGTACTTTTTATGAAATTAATCTAACGTCACGTGATCAACAACCGAAGATTTCATAGTTTTAACATATTTAGCAATCAATAATTAATTGATTTAATCGATTAAAATTTATTTTTTTATAAAAAAATTTTAAATTTAAATTTTATTAATTATTTATTGAGATCATATTAAATACAATTATTTATTTTAAGTTATCAGATACAACATATCTTATTTTGATTAAAAAATTAAATAAATTATTTATCATTTAATTTTTTTTACTAAAAAGTAAAAAAAATATTTAACAGGAATTATATTGAAATTTGTTTTTATCAAGTGAATTTGATTATTTAATTATTTTTAATTTATTAACTATAATTGATTATTTAGGAAAATAAAGTAAGTTTAGTATTGAAGTTAAAAATAATTTGTGTATTTAAAAGTTATTTTTATATATTAATAATTACATAATTTATTGATAAATTATTAAAATTTTAATTTTAATAATTAAAATTCAAATTTTAATAGTTTTAACAATTAAAAATTGTTTTTATTTAACTTCGATGCCAAATAACAAAATGTGATTTTTTGGTTTAAAATTTTAATTTGTAAATCTAAACCAAAAAGTTAATAAGGAGATGTTGTTACGATTCAACAATAATTTTGTGAGTAAAATGATTTTATTATTTTTATATTTTAAATTTTTATTATTTTATGCATTTTTCTATATTTCAATTGATTTTTCACATCCAAATATTTAAAATTCTTAAACTGTATTTTTTTTCATCAAATTTTTAAACACACTTTTTTAATTTAAAAATTTTTTAATAGTGGATATATTATATATTTTTTGTTCAAAAATATTCCTTTATGAAAAATACTAGGGATATATGCAATCCTTTTTTTTTTTTTAATTTTCACTATCTCTAAAAATATAAAATTTTTATTATTGATTTTTTTTACATTTTCTTTATTTTAATTTTCCTTCACCTCTTTCCCTTTAACCAAAGACAATCAAATAAGTCCTTCACCTCTTGGCCTAGTGGCTAAGGATTTGGTTTTAATCAAGATTTTTTCTCCATTGTAAGGATTATACCCTTTTTTGAACTAAAAAACAAGTCAAATAGAATTCAAGATTTTATTTTGTTTTTCCTAATTTATTTTTTTTAGTATGGATGTTAATGAATATGCAATAAAGGGGTAAAACATTTTTCTTCTCTATCCCTAAATTTTGATATTACCCTATCTGTACTTATACTTAATAGATGTTACAAATCTATCTCCATCCACATCTGCTAGGGTATTTAATGGGTGTAATTAATCCATATACATGTAGTTTTTTTAAAAAAATTAAAAATAAAAAATATTTTTTTATTTTTTTTAATTTTAATTTTCATAGTTATATAATTTTTTATAAATATATATTAATATATATTAAATAGAAATATATTAGTTTGAATTAATTTAAAATAATAATTTATATTGTTTAATAAAAATCTATCTACTAATATATAAAAATATACATGTACAATATTGATACGAGTATAGAATGAGTACCATATTACCTGCCCTCATCCCATATCTGATAAAATATTTAAAATCATACCTATCTCATCCCGATCTCACAATGTAATATTCATGACTATCCCTATTCTCATTTAGATAAAAAGTCAAATTTCTCATTAGATATAAATAAAATTGATAACTCTATTTTTTAGTGTTTTTGACCAAACTTTATGACCAATTTATATATATATATATATATATATATTATATTACAATATATAAGGATACCTGATAAGAGTTATCACGTTGACACTTAGATGGACATCTTTTTTGGACACATGAACAATACCTATTATATATGATTTAAATTCAAATATCAAAATTTTCAAATATAAAATCCTATCCAAATTATCTACGATTTTTTCTTAAAAATAAAAAATCTGAATAAGTTGCAATAAAAATATAAAACTTTAAAAAATTAATCTTATTTGATTAAAATTTCACCGAGAGATCTCTTTTTAAATTTAAAATTTTTAAATGAATATTTTTACTTTGGTAACTTTCTTTGTAATTTTTTAATCTTTTTCTTAAATTCAAAAACACAAATATCGCTTATTATATATATTTTTTTAAATTCAAAAGATATTTATAATTAGTTTATTATAATTTAATGTCTTAATTATAATATATGTATTATATATTTTTAAATATGTAAGTAATTAAATAGTATTAATTCATATTTTTACATATTTAAATAAATAAAAATAATCTGTATCATACGGATAATAAGCTAGTTATAGCTAAAGCATCCAACAAATTGGCTTCTTGCCTGGTATGAATGAACTAACATTTAGAAGCATTAATAAACAATGAATTTTTATCGTAAACAAGTATAGACTTTTTTATATAAAAGATACCATAAGTATTGAGATTTTTTTTATATAAAAGATATTGTAATCTAAAATTAAAAAAAATATATTGTAGGTATTAAAATTTAAATGTTAAATTTATTGAATATTATATTTTACAAGTAATTATACAAATAAATTGAATTAAATTTAAATTGGATCAGATTTTGTAATTTTCTTAACTTTCATTAAAGAATCACTTGCAATTCAAGTTGTTAAAACCACTTATCCAAAGCCATTTCCAAACCAAAGAATCATTTGGAAGTTACCTATACTTCTAGAATGAGGAAATGAGTTCACAAATAAGTTAGGAAAAGAAAGCTCTAGAACTTGAGATATTACGCTAGCTTTACCTTTTACATAATCTAAGCATTGTATGACAATGCTGAGTTGGTTTTGATTGAAGATGGAAAAATGGATTTTCATTTTGGTTGAAGCTGCCATTAGACACAACATTAGATCTAGCTAGTTACCCCAACTACATGGCTGATTTTGCTAGGAACATAGCTTGAGAAGTAACGTGTTGTTCTTTCTCGTGAAATTCTTTCAACTTCTGCTGGATATAATGATATCATATGCACTTAAATAATTTGATTATTTTTCTACATGAAGTTTATCAAAAATCTCACTTGAAAATAAAATTAAAAACCAATATTATAATTTTAACAGATCTATTTTGTTTTAATTTAATAACATATGCAAAATCAACTTATGACTAGAATTTAAAGTTTAGCTTAATTAGTTCATGCTATCACTTTTATAAGATAACCTTTAGCAAGTTTGGATCAAATTCTGATACTTATAATCTTTTTTTCTATTTTTAGGTTGCGACTTCCTTTGTATCAAAAGAATGAACTTAAAGCGTTCAATATATCTGGGTTCAAATTCCAATACTTACAATAATTTTTCTTTTATCTTTAGCTATAAATTTTTTATGCTAAAGAATAAACTTATAAAAATTAATATGGATACATGATTTATATATTTGTATTTGTAATTAATTTACTAACATTAAAACCATAACAAAAACTAGGAAACTTTTATGTGTGGTTAGACACTTTTTCTATAGCTCTGTTTTTACTTGAATGAGAAGACACTTGCAGGAAAGGCAAATACATAGTAGTTCTTTTTTTAAGACTTCAGAGCTTCACTTCTCTATTAAATATCCAACTGAAGGGAACACTGGGTGCTTGCTTAGCCCTTATTTGAGCTCTCTCCTCCAGCTTTCTAATTCTTGAAGGAAGTTCACACACATAATCCTGAGCTTTTCGCCCATCGGCTGAAAGCCCAGTTAGCTCCTTCACCTTCCATCTATCCACCAAGAACTCTACAATATCAGCATAGTCATTGGCAGTATAAACCCCAAGTCTCTGTGCAACAGCTGAGAAATGGTCGAAAAGGTTATCATCTTGGCCATCGTACATCAAGTGAGCTGGCATGGTGATTTTCTTCCTCATCATGTTAGCAAAGGCCATGACAGTTTCATCAGGATCAATCTCAAACAGCTTTTCAACCATTTTAGTGTAGGCTGTCTCATGGCGCTTTTCATCTGAGGCAATGAAACCACATATTTGAGCCAATTTAATGTTCCCATGCTCCTTGGCAAGCTTGGATGTATTCCCATGAGAGATAAAAGTTGCCCTTTCTTGGAATGATGTGTATATGAATCCCAGATAAGGATTGTTCTCTATTTGGGGATCCTATAAAATATAGAAGAGAATTCTAAAAGAGTGATTGTTTGGGAAAAAAAGAGCTCAATTTAATCCTAAAAAATTTGAGTTAAGGGGTAATTTAGCCCCCAAAGTATACCATTTTTATGATTCGATACTTACAAAAAAAAGTTCATGATTAGGGATCCGAACTTTGTTTTTGTCATGCATTTTAATTTGAAGCTAATGTGGCAAAAAATAAAAAAAACAATAATATAATGTCATGTGACTCATTTTTATTTATCAACATTTGTCATATCAGTATTTTAACTAATGATGTTAGTCAATAATGTAAAATGCTTGGCGAAAATAAAGTTCAGATATCTAATCGTAAATTTTTTTATAGGTATCAAACTTTTAAAAGTATAACAATTCAAAGTTAAATCATTAACCCAAAAACTTTTAAACCAGATGTCAGAATCTTTTCTCCTGTATCGTACTTGTTCCAGATGGTACATGAGGAAGCAACTTTCTACATCATTTAGTGAAATTCTAGAAGTGAAATAATTAGAATTGTGTATTGGAGACCCAAGTTTGCAGACCTTGAAAGAACCCAAGGTTTGAAATTAAACTATAAGAAGTGAATAAATTGTGTAGCAGCATCATACTTACCATTCCTGATCCAATCAAATACTGGATCGTCTTTTCAATTTGCCTCATGTCAACTCTTCCAGACAAGTAGAGATATTTGTTAAGCAGATCACCATGCCTGTTTTCTTCAGCTGTCCATGCCCTCATCCAAATTGCCCAAGGAGTGAGGCTAGCACCTGTTTCATCACGAACTCCATCAATGGTATTAAGCATGGTTTGGTAAGTTGGAAGGGCTTCCTCTGTGATCATATCACCAACCAAAACAACAAAGTAATCATCTGGAATCTCCTTTGCCATTTCCCTTATCTCTTTGACTTGTTCATAAAATCCATCCGAGGCAGGACCTGGAAGAAAATCTTGGGGTTGCCAACATTTCTCAACTGGTTTGAGGTGAATTAGAATGTTGTTCTCAGCCCAGTTTCCCAAAGATCTAAAGATTTCAATCTTTTGCGGTGGCATGGAATGTGTGACCTGATCATGCACCTCCCAATGAGGCATGAAAGCCTTTTTCAGATTCCTAGCCTCTCTGGATTTAAATAAAGGAATTTGGGGTTACATTCACAGTTCAGACCTGTCAATAAAAGCTACAAATCCTATCTAACAAATTTGGTCATTGCATGTTTCAGAATATGCAGCAGTTTGAGTAATTAAAAAGTCATATATAGCAAATGGGATAATGTTACTAACATACTCGAATTATAATAAAATATTTAATACAATGCATGATTTTTAAAAAAGTTTATGTGACATTTGATTTATTAATCTATTAACTAATATAATATTTGAAAAGTTATTTGTCAACCATATATTATAATTACGTTAAAAATAAATATCACATTAATTAACAGATTCATAATTTAAATATCATATTAAAAATTTTATAAAATTCATATATCATATTAAATATTTCACTATAATTCAGAGTCTATTGGTTAAAAAAATTTTCACATACAATCAAGAATCTATCAATATTGTTGTGTTTCCTAAAAGTAATCATCATTTCTTGCAAATAAAGTAAAGTGCGAAAATTATAATAAATAGTAAAATATTATAAAAATTAGAAACTTCAATAATTTGCAGTGATTTAATAATAAAATAATAGTTAGAATACTGAATTAAAAAAAAAAAAAAAAAGCAACTAACTTGGAGCCAGAATGAACTGTGGAGGCCATGAAAAACTTGGGAGTTCTGAAGCTAGCCATTGGTGGAAGAGCAAAAGCAGGGAATTTTTTAGATTGAAAAGTGATGTGATCCAATCTCAAACCCATTTTTTTGAGGCTTCACTTTGAAGAAAAATACGTTTTTGTGAAAGAAAGAGAAAATAAATAGTCCATCTTCAACACATGACCCCTAACTTTCTTTTTCCCATTCATACGTTTTTCGTTTTCTTTTACGGTTGGAAATAGGAATAATGATGCACATTTTCGTCACGGAATTATTTTATAATATTACGTTTTGATTAATTAATTTTTTATACTCAACTGTTTAGTTTTATTAGTTTTGGATACATGCGTAAAGCACATATAATTTTTTAAAATTTTAATTAAATAAATAATTTTTTGATATAATAATAATAATAATGCTAACAGTTTATTTTTTATTTTGCTATATGTAAGTAAATTTTGATAATTATTTATATAATTTTGATTTTGATAACTTTTGATATTTTTGGTAATCTTTGTTAAAAGTTTGATAATTTTTTATAAAATTTTGGTAACTTTTTATGCATATTTGATAATTTTCGATATTATTTTAGTCACTTATAGTATAATTTTTTTCACTTGTTGATATAAATTTGGTAATTTTTATAAAATGTTGGTAACTTCTAGGTGTAATTTTGGTAACCTTTCATATAATTTTTGATAATTTATAATTTATTTTTAGTAATCATTAATAAATTTTGTGCCATCATGTATCTAATAATTGATTCTCCAACAAGACGCGGCTTTTATTGTAGTATAAGATAATTTTCTTTTGGTATAATAACATTATTGTTTCATTTAAATTTAGAATTTTTTTATTAAAATTTTTATTAAATAGGTTCATGTAAATATGATAATTCATGTATTCGTATCATATAAAATACTAAATTCATGTATCTGTATCATGTTTTACACTAAAATTATGTGTCACAATTCATGTGAACATAAAAATATAAAATATATATTTTTAGTTTTTTTTTAAACCTATATGTAGTTATTACTAAAATTTTAAACTGTATTACTTTTATATCTTTTTTCATATCGTGTTCATGTGGTCTCACTATATTGTGTTTTAGATTGCTAGGTCAGTTCATGATTAGCTTATCCTAGCCTATCAAAATGAAAGTTCTAGTTTTGTTTATGCTAATAACCAAAATTCAAACGTTGACAACTTCAAACCTAAAAAAGTTATCAATGATTGACAATTAAATTATTATTGATTTTACACGAAAAAAATTATCATTGATTTATTATTATATAATCAGTGATTTACTACTAAGTTATCAATTATTTATAACTAAATTATCAATTATTTACTACTAAATTATCTTTAATTCACTACTAATTTATGTATGATTTATTACTAATTTATTGATGATTTATTATAAAGTTATAACTTATTTACTACAATTTATGGATGATTTACTTCAAAATTTTCAATGATTAGTTAATTTACTACTAAATTATCACTGATTTACATTTAAATGATTAGTGATTTACTACTAAGTTTATCAATTAATTATTATCAAATTAAAACTGATTTACTACTAGTTAACAATGTTTTACTACTAAATTATCAATATTTTACTAATATGTTATTGTGCATTTACTACTACGTTAACATTTAACGTTTATTTACTACTTAGTTTTAGATTATTTACTATAAAATTATCACAAATTTGTATTAAATTATCCATAATTTACTATCAAGTTATCACTAACTTATACAAATTATCCATGATTTTTTATTAAGTTATTATTGATTAACTATTAAGTTATCGATAATTTGCTACTAAGTTATATTAATTTACTTTTAAGTTTTCAATGATTAACTACTACATTATTACTGATTTACTACTAAGTTTATCAATTAATTATTATTAAATTGAAACTGATTTACTATTAAATATTTATTGATTTATTACTAAGTTATCAATAATTAACTATTAAGTTATTATTTATTTTTTATTAAACTATCATTGATTTACTAATATGTTGTTATATTTACAACTACAAAATATAGAATTTAAAAAGTCCACTAATAATATATGAGATAATTTTTTTTAATAAAATAATAATTATTATTTCATTTAAATTTAGAATTTTTTTATTAAATTTTTATTGAATAGGTTCATTATATATTTATCTTAATCCCTAGAATAAAAGTTTTGACTTCGTTTCTGCTAGTAATCAGGATTCAATTCCTAGCAACTTCAAATATAAAAGAAGTTATCAATGATTAAACTCATTAATTGATTACTAAATTATCAATGATTTACTAATAAATTATCTATGATTTTCTACTAATTTATTAATAATTTACCATTAAGTTATAAATGATTTACTATTAAATTGTTAATGATTTACTATTAAGTTATCAATGATTTATTATAAAGTTAAAACTGATTTATTACTAATTTATCAATGATTTTTTATAAAGTTATTATTGATTAACTAATTTATTAGTAAATTATTACTGATTTACAACTAAGTTATTAATAATTTACTACTACGATATTTGTGATTTAACATTAAGTTATCAGTTTATTGCTATCAATAATTTACTATTAAATTATCAATGATTTACTATTGTATTATTATGTATTTATGGCTATGCTATTATTGATTTATTATTTAATTTTTTATTATTTACTATAAAATTATTATTGATTTACTACTAAATTATGCATAACTTTCTATTAAGTTATCACTGATTAACTATTTTCTTTTGATTTACTTTTAAAATTTCATTGATTAACTACTAAGTTATCATTGATTTACCACTAAGTTATATCAATTAAACTGATTTACTATCAAAGTATCACTAATTTACTATTAAGTTATCATGAATTTATTACTAAATTATCAATAATTAACTACTTAGTTATCACTTTTTTTAATAAGTTATATTTAATTTACTACTATATGGTTACACATTTACAACTATATTATAATCGATTTACTACTAAATTATTATGCAATTATTATATGTTATTATTGATTTACTACTAAATTATCAATTGTTGACTACTAAATTATCATTCATTTACTATTAAGTTATCACTAATTTACTATTAAGCTATCTATGATTTAATATTAAGTTATTACCAATTAAGTATTAAGTTATCATTGATTACTACTAACTATCATTAATTTACTTTTAAGTTATCATTAATTTACTACTATATTATATTAATTATTTTAAATTTTCAATAATTAATTAATAAGTTATCCATTATCTACTATTATATTATTGTTGATTTGTATATATCCAGAAAGAAAGTAACCACATTTTACTATTAAGTTATCACTAATTTACTATTAAATTATATTAATTACTTTTAAATTTTCAGTGATTAATTAATAAGTTATCTATTATCTACTATTATATTATTGTTGATTTGTATATATCCAGAAAAAAAGCAACACAATTTACTGATTAAGTTATCACTTATTTATTACTAAATTATACTAATTACTTTTAAATTTTCAATGATTAATTAATAAGTTATCGATTATCTACTTTATATTATTGTTGATTTGTATATACCTAGAAAGAAAGTAACTACAATTTACTATTAAGTTATCACTTATTTACTACTAAATTATACTAATTACTTGTAAAATTTTAATGATTAATTAATAAGTTATCTATTATCTATTATTATATTATTGTTGATTTGTATATACCTAGAAAGAAAGTAATTACAATTTACTATTAAGTTTTCACTTATTTACTACTAAATTATACCAATTACTTTTAAATTTTCAATGAATAATTAATAAGTTATCGATTATCTACTATTATATTATTATTGATTTATATATATCCAGAAAGATAGTAATCATAATTTACTATTAAGTTATCACTTATTTACTAAATTATACTAATTACTTTTAAATTTTCAATGATTAATTTATAAGTTATTGATTATCTACTATTATATTATTGTTGATTTACATATATTCAAAAAGAAAGTAACCATAATGTATGTTAGGTGATATAATTCATAAAGTAGAGAAACAAGGTAAAAAAATGTTCAAGTGTGGACAACTTGAAAAGCAATGAGTAAATGCTCTTAATTTTTTATCTGTAGTTTAACATGCAATTATAAGTGAAAATCATAACTTATTATGATAATGCAAGTATCAAAACTAAATTAAATAAATATACACAATATATATTAAGTCAATATTTCTAAGATTTTCTTCAATTTTTTTTGTTCATAGAAAAATTGTACATATTAAGACAAGCTTTATTGATTATTTGATTGAATTATTAGTGTATGTATTTTCATACCTATTAGCAAAGTAAAATTGCATATAAAAGATTAAAAATTTTGAAGTATTCTATTAACAATGAAATTAATAAACTCTCCATTATGTTTATATTTTCAAGTATATAATTTTGGATAAAAATTTTGTCATATATATGATAAAAGTAATGTGAGAAAATTTGACTAAATAAAATTTTAAAACAATATACAAACAACATTTTTAAAAAATATTAAGTTCACAATAATTTCCTTCGCGTTCTCCTTAAAAAATTTCTTTTACTAACCAAAAAGATGGTATACCTTCAATTGTTACTTCATTCTTATTACCATCATTCAAAATGATTTTCTTAATATTTGGATACCAATCAAGTTTTTCAATTGAAAAGAGTAAAGAATAGTGTAAGGGGTTATAGCAATTCAAATGATGTTTAATTATTTGTTATTTTCCTGAATAAATATGAACTATGATTTTTTTCTTAAATGAAATGTTTGAGTTGTTTTCCTTAACTCATATAATAGCAACTTGATCAATAAATGAATAATTATAAACTCATTGATCTAAATTAACATTTTTATAATACGAATTTCAATATCCTCAAAAGATATATTTTTTTAATCTCTGCAAGACTTAGGCATAAGGATTTTTGTCTAGAATTATCATTGGTATCTTTATAACTTTTGCATTTAAATTTTTATTATGTTGTGTTTTCATTTTATTTTGAAGTTTATTACTGATGTCATAAAAATATAACTAAAAACAATATGATTAATCAACTCAAATATGAAACA